TGAATTTGGCTGGGTTCACACATCTAGGGGACACATCTAAGTTCACCTATCCAGCAGGCTAGACTGATCATGCATGGTTGTGCTGGTGGCCGAGATGCTAGAAAGAAGAAGAAAGAGCCAGACCCAGCAAAGCCTGGTCACGGCACCTCAGACCCAGCCCAGGTTCAAGGGGAGGGAAAGGAGATCTGCCTGCAGTGCAGAGAGCACAGCAACAGGCCGTGGGTGGAGGGAGGACGAGACCTTTGGCCATTAGGTCACAGTTAACTTAGTGTTCGCTCGCTGTTGAACAAAATAGCAGGATCTCACCATCAGAGTAGTGACAGGCTCGTCGGCCTTAGATTCCAGAAACCCCTTTCCTTAGGCTGTACTTGAAAGGCTTTTATCTCATCTCTGTACATCTTGTGAGCACTGTGTGCTGACCTGTGTATTCCCACAGTCTGCGTGACACGCACGGGGTTCTCAGAAGTGGGCCGGGACCCTTGGCGGCAGTTCACTTCTGAAAGCAGCGGGTACAGAGGAAAGGTGCTGTTTCAGACCCGAGTGTATGTTACCCAGTTCTCATGCCTACACTGTGTGTCTGAGGCCCAGGAGGTCAGGAAAACAAACAGACCATAAACTTGACGGTGGCAAGAAAGAAAGATCTGAGACCAGACTTTGGATGACAAGGAATTTCTCCCATCAGTTCTGACAAAGAGCCCTTTGGCCCTTTGGACTCAGCCTTCGCATATAGAGACCCACGTCCACCGCTGCTGGTGCACGCTCATCTGTGATCACTGCGAGGTGGTGTCTGCTGACAGGACAGCTGTAGAGCTAGTGCCTGGTTTAGTTAACTGCCAGAACTAGGTGCATATCAGAAGGGGTGGGTGTGACAGGTAACCTGAAACACTAACTAGTCTGTGCAACTGTAAATTATTACTTTGATGCAATCATAAATTAAAGAGCTTAGCCACTGGCTTGAGAAGAGAGGAGGACTGAGTGAGTGGCTGCTGTTTGACTCCCCGATGATTCTGACGAGTCAACTCACGTGGTAGGATGCTAAGTTCTTGTTCAAGTTGGGAAGGATAAGAAACATCCTAGGTCTTCAGTTCTGTTCTTTGGGCTTTTCATCATTCCTAATTTGTGACAAAAGTGGCAGCTCATTTTGAGTTGAAAGGTGACTTCTAATCTCTCTCCAGAATTGAGCCCTTTGTTCCACCCTTTCCTCCAGAAATCCTCCTTCCCCCCCCCCCGGAAGTGACTTTCATCAAGATGCTTTTAGAAAGAAGAAAATGTTCCAGAAAACTATAGAGGCTGCCTCACAGGGTTGATCTTGTCCACCATAGATCTTTCAAAGAAAGCCTTGGAAAAATACCAAGCTGAGATTTCACAAATAAAGCATAAAACCACATGACCATCCTTACAGATTCGAGAAAGGCATTTGAGGAAATTTATTACATTGTCCCTGATGGAAAAAAAGAAAAAACCTCTCAGTGCAATGGGGCAGGAGGGCTTGAGCTGTCTTAGTTCCTACAACTGCCTGCAAGTGTTACACCGTGTGCTCGGCTTCTAGAACACATCTTCGGAAGCAAGGGTGTGAAAGATTAAAAGCTCTTTCCATTAAAGTCTGGGGAAGATGGGATCTCAACTCATCTCTTATTCCTCACTGTCTTACAGAACCTAGCTAAAGCAGTGAGTTTTTTTTTTCCAAGTGGGTATTATAAATACTGTAAAAGCAACAACTGTTCCTAGAAGTTGAAGATGCGATGTTGACCTAGAAAACTAAGAGGTTAGAAATGCTAGCACTATTAGAACCGATGAGAAAAAACCAGGGCTTGAGAGGGTTACACCCAACAGTTACGGGAGGTGAGTTAGGGGAGTGGGGGAGGGAGAGCTAGGACTTTTACTTTCTTGACACATTTCTGCATGTGTTGATTTTACACTGAACATGTTTTGTAATTTACAAATGAAATATAGTGATAGATTCTTAAATTGAAAGTTGTGATAGTAAATGTTTACAAATCCACTAAAAGTAGGAATAAATAATAGAGTCCCTCCTCCCTGTTACCCAGGGGTGCTATGGACATTTTGAATCAAAGAGGGAAAATGAGTCCAGTGGAGTTAATTCAGTAGAAAATGTAGGTAACACTGGTCTGTGGTGATGGCACACGGTGAATTGGTTGTGGGAAGCCCCTGGAGATTACAGCTGAGATGAAAAAATGCACAAAAGGAAGAATGATGTAAAATATATATATATATATATATAATTTTTAAAATTCATAAATAAATAAAATGTAGCTAAACAAATAATTTGGGGGTGACTTTTTAAAAAAATTTATGTATACAGAACTGGGGTACAGGCCAGAGGTGCAGGGGCAGTGAGAGGATTCATCAGAGACAGAGTGGGGAGCAGAACAGGCAGATCAACAAAGCACACTGCTGAGGGGAGCATCAGGTGAGACAGGAGAGGTCTGCTGTGCCATGTGGGTCAGCTCAGGGGCTGGGGATCGAACTCACACTGAAGCAGCTGCGGCTGGCTTGCAGTGCCACACTTTAACCCGTTGTGCCACCAGGGAGGGCCTTGAGGACATCTTTGAGGGAGAAAAAGGGCCAGAGTTCCATTTCTCAGACACTTTGCTGTTTGCTGCTTGACATTGGGAAAACCAGTGATCTCGTCTGCAGTCCACTTAGGCAGGTAGGGCTGACCTACTTGCATTGGAAGCAAGAGCTAAAGAGAAAGAATGCAAAGGAAGATTCTGCCTGAATGTGAAATGTTATTGTTAGAATGCCCATGAATGAATGTCAGAGCCCAGAGTCTCAGAGGCTTGGCGCTAAATGAGGGCTCCTCTTTGCAGAAGCTGCACTGTGAAGTAGGCACCATGGCGCGGGGGAGAGATGAAATAGATAAAACATGAAAGACTGTGGCTAGTAGACGAGGTGTGTGTGTGTGTGTTCGTATGTAGGTGTGTGTGTAAAGCTTAAGAACATTTATAAAGCAGTAAGGAGAACATTTTAATATTGCAGAATAGCAAAGTGCTGGGGGGATCTTGAAGTAAGAGGGAGCAATTAAATTTGAGAACTATTGAGAGATGCTTCCAGAGGCTGGACGTGTGCATAGGACAGTGCGCGTGTGTGTCAGGGTGGGGAGAGTGGTGTTGTAGGGATGGGCATCTGGCGGCGTTGTGCTAAGTTCAAAGGGAGTTTCTAAAGGGGAGATGATAATCCCCTTCTGATGGTTGATTATCTGAGGCAGTGTCAGGAAGCACAAGATCAAATCCAGTGCGACACCAGCCAGTGCAGAGCCCAGAGGTCTGCGGAAGCTGGAGCTGCGCTACGTACAGCCCGGCTCAGGAGAAGCTCCGTCCTCTGCCGCTGCCGCGGGGACTGTCTCTTCCTCTTTGGCAAGCAGGATACAAAGGAGAGTGGGGACCCACAGGTCACCCAGGAACACTCATGTTGCCAGTCCCGCCAGTGGGCCTTTCCAGAAAACAGATGAGCGTGGTTTCACGGCTTAGCGAGAGTGTGAGCTGGTGGCTTCAGGCTTCAACCTGGGGCCTGTTTTAATGAAATGAGGAGGACGGGCCCTCCCTGGTGGCGCAGTGGGTGAAAGCACAGCACTATGATGCTAGACACAGCCATTTCATGAGCTCTGTCCCTGGCCAGGGAGCTGACCCACATGGCGCGGCAGACCTCTCCTGACCTGCCCGCTGCCCCCCTCAGCAGTGTACTTCATCGATCTGCCTGTTCTGCTCCCCACTCTGTCTCTGGTGAAGTCCTTCACCACCCCTGAGCCTCTGGCCTGCACCCCAGTTCTGTATGCATAAATAAATAAATCTTAAAAAAAAAAAGAAATGCAGAGAACACTCCACACACTGTCTACATTGGCGGTGAGGAAGAGGAGGAGGTGGGCCAAGCAGGGAAGCTGTATCCTCATGTATCCTCTGGAGTGAAGGGAACTACTGTCAAGTTCAGGTGAAGGTAGAGATCATGGCTCAGGGCTCCCTCCCTGAACCTGTGGCCTGTTACTACCCGAGTGTGGGTGAAGTACACACCAGATGCAGCGAGGCCTTTGTTCTTGGACAAAGCCTGTGTGCCTTTCAGCGCTGTGGGACCTGCAAGTAGACGTTAGACTGATTGGCTCCGTTCCGTCCTTTGTTGCCTGTCAGATATTTCTTAAGCCTGTCTCCTCCTCATGGCCCCCGCTGCCAGCATGAATACTTGCATGGGTCCTCACAACCTTCTCATAGCTGGTCTCCCATCTCCAAGATTCGCCTCCTCAGTCCAGTCCTCACACAGCCTCATGCTTCTCTCCAAACTCCTGCTTTGCTTGTCATGTCAGTGCTCAGAGTCCTCCTGTGTGAGAGGCTAGAGAGGCAGTCCCCACTGTCCACCTGCCCGGCCACAGGGAGGTGGCCCTCGCTATGTCTCGCACTGTTTCAGTGCCAGTGCTCCCCAAGACGGCTCCTCATATGCAAGCCTCTGTCTAGTCTTTTGTGCTGAATCACTTTCTTTCGCAAGTTACCATGGGTCTCAAGATGCAGCTAGTCTGTGTCAGCTCTAGAAAGTGATCCCTCAGCACCTTTGCATCATGGCCTGTTTCCTCCCATCTGGAAGCAGGTAAGGTTGACTCCCATCAATACCTCCCTGTAGCCTCCCTGTGAGTTCTTGGTCTGATTCTCCTGACTCACCTGGAAAACACCCTTAAGGCAAAGTGATACTAAGCCTCTCCATTGCACCTTGCAGAGCGCCTGGCACAGAGCTGGTCACTGGCCCGCGTCACAGGGAGAACGAACGTGTCTTTTTTATTTTGCTTGTGAACATGTGTAGGTGGGCTCTGGCCTCATCAGAGATGAGTGAAGTCAAAGTCAGCCGACTGAGTTCTCAGGAGCAGGGTGAGGAGGAATGAGACATGATGTTAGGGCATGTTCCATAAAGTAGAAATCTCTCCGCACTCACTAGGGAGCATCCAGTCGCTGCCTGTGGGTCTCCAGAGTTAGTGAGTGAAAACTCCCGTGCTGTTCCAGGTCAGCTGCTGCCGGCAAACCGTAACACACCAAGCCCCATCGACCCCGACACTATCCAGGTCCCAGTGGGGTACGAGCCAGACCCGGCCGATCTCGCCCTCTCCAGCATCCCTGGCCAGGAAATGTTTGACCCTCGCAAACGCAAGTTCTCTGAGGAAGAACTGAAGCCACAGCCCATGATTAAGAAAGCCCGCAAAGTCTTCATCCCCGATGACCTGAAGGTAAATTGGAACTGGTAATCAGGCTGGGGGGCTGGGAGGTGGGCCCAGAGGCAGGTGAAGGGGTGGCCTCAGCTCAAACAGCCATGGGCGCAGGACTCGTGGCTTGTGGCCTGTGTCCCCAGGCAAGTGGCTTCTTCTCTGGGTGTCTTCAGAAATAATATCTTTCATATCTTGCTGATGCACAGAAACAAGGAAAAGCAATAAAATGCTGGAGTGATTTACAACCTGCGAAGGAAGCAAACCTGATACTGTCTGCAGGGAAAACCATGAAAGCCCAATAAAATTAAAGTAGAATCTCTCAAGGTTGAAAATAAACAGAAAACTGTTTGGGAAGGGCAGCTAGACCGTACTCTGAAGGATACACCCCCATTGGGAATTTACTGATAATGAACAGCTGCTCTTAGGCCTCAGGGAGTAATATTTGGAGATAGCCCTCTCTCCCCACAGTTTCCCTTTAGGACCAGGTGGGATTTTGCTAAGGAAGCTGGTAGGTTCCCTGACACTATTTATATGCAATGTCCGCTTTGTGTTTTATGTTGAGGGGACACATCAAATGAAAATAGATTCTCTTTAAGAAGTCAGATGCAACTTAAAACCAATCTGGTACATTTAAGGATACCTTAGGAAATGAATTTTTTCCTAAAGTATGCCATGTCCACTAATAGCAAAATAGAACGATTTTGATTGGCTATTGTATAGGATTTTTTTGTGTCTATATTTCTTTTCAATCATGTGGACAATGGAGATATGATTGTAGAATTCAAGGCATCAGAAAGAGTCATAATTAATCCTTTTCTGATTCCTGACCCCCATTCCCCAAATTAGATATGGTTCACATGGAGAGAGACTCCTGGGCTGGGAACTTGGGAGTTTGGAACATTGTTCTGAAGTGGATTTAGGCCAGCGGCTTCTGCTGCTCTTCCTGTCTGGAATGAGCAATGGAAGGAAAAGTACCTGGCAGATTCCAGTCCCTGCTGCCTTCACATACCTGAGAATCTCTTAAGTGATGCAGAAGGTCAGGGCTGAAGGGGCCTTGGACATGCATTAGACCAAGATTACCAGTTTGCATTTGAGGGAATGGAGCTACAGGAGAAGAAAGGTGGAAACTGCTGGCCGTCAGCTGACAGCCACTGCTAGCTGTACCCCTGAGGATCGAAAAGGAACGTGGATAGCGAAAACACCCACAAACATGAACAGGACAAGGCACTGTTGGTTGTATGGATGGAATTAGCAGGGGAGTCAGGGCTTAGGTGCTGGGCGGTGAGTTATCTTCTGTCCACTGGATGCTTTTCCTGGCCCTGTGTTCTTAGCTGTTCCATTCTGGGTATATTTCAGAGTCATCTCTGAAACTAAGCCAGGCAACCCATTCGGCCTGAATTTCCTCTTGGAAGGTAGTTTGAAAGGATGCTGCTGAGTGGTAGATATGACTTGCAGCCGGGCCTTCCCAGGGTGTCCACATTTACAAGTTCAAAGGAAAGAGCAAGCGCACTTAATAACCCAGGTAACCTTGGCAACAAACGGCAAGGTGAAAACTGTGCTGGCGTATGTGCAGTCGCTGCCGCCATGGCCAGGCCTCCCCTTCCACGGGACAGGCGGGACTCAGGCAGGGGTGCTCCTCTGCCCGCTGCCCTGGGCTCGGGTGGCTTCAGAGTGAGCGCAGCCCCAGGTGGCACGCAGGCCACAGTGTGGAGCAGGAAGCCGAGTTTCCCCTCTAGCAGGAGGGCTGAGCCAGGAGTGGTGGGAGACAGGCTGGTGGATCCCCCTGGCATTGAACCAGCAAACTGCTGGACTGAAATGGACTAAATGGCCTTCCCCACCCCTGTCTGAATGTCCTCCCTGGGCCCTCCATTGGCTTGGGTTAGTATGCACCCTCTGAGATTGCTCGCCGAGGGCCAGCCTAATCACCTTGCTTTCAAACGTCTATTCATTCACTCGACAAATATTTCTCAAATGCTGCTCACATGTGCCAAGCCCTGGGGATACCAACGGGAGCCAGTGCTGACTTGTTTCCATCTTCAAGGAACTTCTAGATTAGCAAGAACAAGGGAGTGTTAACCGTCAGGAGGGCCTGGCGAGGTGGGGGAGGTAGCCACAGCATGAGGCCCTTGGGAAGATGATGGGAGCAGCACTGAGTGGCTCTTTGCTGAGCGGGGGTAACCCAGGAGCCAGAGGCATTTGCACCTGGGAGATGGAGAAGGGGACGGGGCTGTGACGCCAACCTTATGCGTCCCGCTCAATATCCGGCTTCCGCCTTGCCAACCTAGCACTGACAACAAATTGAGGCAAGCTGGCTTCTTTCTGGTCCAGGGCAGTCCTCCTTCCGTCATTCGTTCTGCTGCTGTGTCCTCTGCTCCTCTCCTACTCCCCTGTCCCCTCCTGCCTGTGCGGGTTTCAGTGCCACACTTTGCCAGCTCATCTGCCTGTGCGGACACAGGGAAGGCTGGGAAATGGAAGCTCTTTAGAAATAATAAGAGCTCGAGGAAACAGAGAAGCTCATTGTTACTCTGGGTCAGCAGACCTGGGACCCTTTAAAGGCTGTTGGTGTTGGCGGGATTTGCTTGGGCTTCTACGAGGGGGAGATGAGACCAGCGATGAGGAGCTGGGAGCAGCTGGAAGAGCCTCCCTGGGCAAGCTGGTCTAGGGCTTATGAACGCTGGGGAGGCCCCTGGGGCCTAGACACAAGCCACCAAATCCATGACCCATGGGTGCTCACCCCTTCACCCCACCCCAGCTCCTACAATTTCCCAGGAGCTTGTCAGGTATTCCTTACCTCCTGGCTTCTGTCCCCCCCATGTGCAGGTTCTGATACATCCTCAGGCAGCCCCTCTTTCAAAGAAGCTGGGACAGCATGCTCCTGGGAACTGTGTGGCTGATGTGCTCATATTCCCCTCGGGTGGATTTGGGCTTACATCTAACAGCACAGACAGCTTCCATCAGAACTGCGCCTCCCCAGTGTTCATGAGCCCTAGACCAGCTTGCCCAGGGAAGCTCTTCCAGCTACGCCCCAGCTTCTCATCACTGGTCTCATCTCCCCCTCGCAGAAGCCCAAACAAATCCCGCCAACACCAACAGCCTTTGCATACCTGTCCCCAGCTAGCTAATCCAAGTGTCCTTCGAAGAACAGCTGCCTCTAAGAATTCTGGTACCAGTTACTACACAGATCTTTTCTTTTTTCACTGTTTCATAGTACCATGAAATGTATAGAAAGCTGGGAGTGCTTTATAAATGCAATAAAAATGCCAGCTCCCAAACTGTAGCCAGAGGCGCCGTCATAGGCTTTCTGTCTTATGCTCTCTTTATGCAAGAAAAATATCTGCCGGGGCAATGGGCAGCTGTGAGGGCCTGCCACCGACTTTGGACCTGCCTTGCAGCCTTGGCCTGCCCCATGTGACCCTCTCTAGTGCTGACTGCCCTTATGACCCAGGGGAAGGGTAAAACTGGCTTCACCGCTTCCTCTGGGCGGCACGTAACTGCAGAAATCAGCCCTGATAGGATGGAGGGGTTGCTGTTGCAAGTTGTTGAATAAAGGAACTTGCAAAATTCACCAGGTGGCACTGGAAATGAATTGGGAAACTCTAAAAGGTCTTCAGCTCCTAGTCTTCTGAGGGAGGACTCCTTTTCTTCTGGCAGGAGCAGTAGGCGTTGGGTTCACTCTGCTCACAGCTGAGGCTAATTATGGTCTAGAGAACAGTTAAACAGGAAATTAAAGTCAATTATTTAATTCCAGTCATCAATAGAAGTATAGTGGTGAGTAGCGGGTAGAAGTTTTTCTTTTTAATTTCCACTTTCAATTCCCAAAGTATATATGCCCATTGTACAGTATTCTATTAGCACAAGGGGATATAAAATAAAAGGTGAGTGAGGCTGCTTTCTTATAGTCTCCCTCCTTCTACTCTTTAAGGCACTCTATTTAGTATGTTGCTGTGAGCTTTTGGACAGTTTTGCTATGAAGCAATACTATGTTTTTTTAACCAAAGTGGGATAAGGCCACACATATTTATCTGTAAACTGCATATTTCTACTACTTCATTCCACTCCACACGGTGGTATATCATCAACATACTAGTTCATCTGGATCATTGTGTTTAGTATCCTTTTGTATAATTCTGCTATCATGTTATGGAATGTTTGTCCACCCTTGACAGCTGTAAACAGTGTCTCAGTGAAACACGAGTGGCTGTGTTATGCATGTGAAGATGGCTAGGGGTCAGCTCCTAGAGGGGGAGTTGCCGGATCAAGGACGTATGCCAGAAGAGCTGAGACACAGCCGAGTGGTCTTCGGCCGCTTTGTATCAGTGTATACCAGCAAGCGTCTGAGAGCCATGGGAAAAAAGGGCTCATAAAGCAAAATTTTCATCAAAAGGGACTCAAGAAATTTGGAATTTTAGCGTTCACTGAGCCCCTGAGCTCCCCCTCATTGGCCACATACTCCACTGGGCAGAGGGAGCAGGAGTATGCTGGTCAGGTCGGTGTGTGCCTCGGGAAAGCCGCGTTCCTGCAGCACCATCCTCTCCGGCGTAGGTGGTCAAGGCGAGAGACACGAGTCAGGAGACCTGGGCTGGTGCCTCCGTACACGCCGGACACCTGCCAGTGCCTTGCCCGATAGACACTCAGCTTTGCTGAAATCTAATATCTTGTTTCTTTTTCTTTCTGGAACTAATGAGCAGGATGACAAGTACTGGGCGAGGCGCAGAAAGAACAACATGGCGGCCAAGCGTTCCCGAGACGCCCGGCGGCTGAAGGAGAATCAGATTGCCATCCGGGCTTCGTTCCTGGAGAAGGAGAACTCGGCTCTCCGCCAGGAGGTGGCTGACTTGCGAAAGGAGCTGGGCAAATGCAAGAACATACTTGCCAAGTATGAGGCCAGGCACGGGCCCCTGTAGGATGGCATTTTTGTGGGCTGGCTTTTGAATAGATGGACAGTTTGTTTCCTGTCTGATAGCACCACACCCGAGCCAACCTTTCCGACATCAGCACTTTAGCAGAGGCATCAACACAACTGACACATTTTGGTGTGTGTGCGTGCGTGTTTGTGCTGGTGCTTGTGTGGTCAATGGTGTGTGGGCGTTCCTTTTGCACTTGCCGTTCTAAGAGAGCCCTCTCGTCCTCTTTGAGTCCCCCCAACCCCAAAAGAAAGGTGCCATGTTTTTACTGGACTTCGGAGCCCCCTCTGGGGTTTCCTGCCACTCCCTTCTTCCTCACCCTCGCCCTTTCAGCGTTGCTTCCTGTTCTTCTTCACCTACTTTTCGGGGACCCTCCGCTTGGACCCCCTAAAAGGGCCCCGGTAGCATAGTAGAGCTCAGTTTTCAAGACTGCAGCCTCTTGTTTCTGTTTAATCTGTAAGTTGCCATGCTGATTAGGTGCGGTGGATAATTTAGCACTACACTGCTGCTCAGTTCAGTTATAGGTTGCTTTCCTCATCTTTTCGGTTCTGGTGGTAATCGTCTTCAAATTTAAAGTGCTGTTTAGATTCATTAAGATCCCGTATTTACTTACTGCTCTCTACTAAGTTTCCTTTTAATTCTACCAACCCCAGATAAGTAAGAGTACTATTATAGAACACGGAGTGTGTTTTTGCACTGTCTGTACCTAAAGCAATAATCCTATTGTACGCTAGAGCATGCTGCCTGAGTATTACTAGTGGACGTAGGATGTTTTCCCTACCTAAGAATTTCACCGTCTTTGGAAAAACAAAAATTAATGCACTCGAGCATGCCCAGAACATCCCCAGGACAGGGAAGCAGAGGGAAATGCCAGGTCTGAGAAGGAGGGGTTAATTTATCAGTCAATAAGACAAAAAAAATGCATCTTGGAACAGCTTTTGACAATGACATGTTTGATCCCATACCCCACCTCCCACTTTTCTAGTAAAAGTTTTCCATGTCCCTCTTGATATTCAAACAACTCAGTTACTTAAGATTCAGTTTTTCCTAGTTTTTGTAATATATATTTTTTTGTGAATTATATTTGCTGTTTTTAAAAAATCAGTTAATTAAGTTAATAAGTTGATGTTTTTGTAAGACCCTTCTCCCTAGTGGTGTCATTTTTGAATGCTTCATAAATTAATAATTCTGGAGCTTATGTTTCTTAATGTTTCTTATTCTCTGTTTGCTTTTAAACATATGTGCTCTTATAAAGTGGACTTCTGAAAAATGAATGTAAAAGACACTGGTATATCTCAGAAGGGGATGGTGTTGTCACAAACTGTGGTTAATCCAATCAATTTAAATGTTTACTATAGACCAAAAGGAGAGATTATTAAATTGTTTAATGTTTATACAGAGTAATTATAGGAAGTTCTTTTTTTGTACAGTATTTTTCAGATATAAATACTGACAATGTATTTTGGAAGACATATATTATATATAGCAAACAGAAAAGGAAAAATATTCCATGTTTTAAAGTTATATAGCAAAGATATATATTCATCAATGTTGTACAGAGAAGAAGCGCTTGGGGATTTTGAAGTCTTTAATATTTCAAGCCAATCACTGACACATCAGCATGTTTTTCTGCTTTAAATTAAAATTTCATGACAGTATCGAGGCTTATTTTGACAAATTCTGCTCTAAAACATATAAGAAGCTTTCTCGTTTCCTCTTAGGTCTCAGAAAGAAGTCAGTGAACGTCACCCAAAAGCACAAAAGAATGTTAGTCAAATATTTATTGGATGATACAGTATTTAGGAAAAGCATCTGCCACAGAAATAAATGTTCACTTCAAAATTATGAGTTGCTGGAATGGAATATCACTGCAAACACCCCAAATGGTTCTGTCCTCTGTGGGCATAGGCATCTTCTGCAGTAGAAGGTTGATATCGGTGCTATGTGTATGGTTTATAATCAGGTAGATGTTTTGACTTTAAAGGTGATTATTCTTTTGTTTTACTAAGTTGTGTAATGTCAAGAGATTCTGCTGTTACCGCAGAGAAACATTTTATGCTAGATTAAAATACCCTTCACCCATGGGATTTTCTAGTTTTCTGCCTCCCAAATATCTAATTCTTAAATTGCTTGGTGGTCTCCTTGTCAGCCCACCAGCAGTGCTTCCCTCCCAGAGGGGTGTAGCCATGGAAAACCTGCCTAGGAGGCTATTCCTACTAGGTATGTCTTTTGGCCTCAGCTAGATTATGGGGGAAATGGGTGCACTCTGGAATAGAAACAGATTGTTCTGGTAAGTAAGTTATGAAACAAAGCCATTGGCAACCCTAAGCAGAACTTTGCAAGTGATATTCAAAAACACATGTGGACACAGGTTTGGCCTTTTTATTGAGGTAAAGAGAGTAGTTGAACAGGATTGTTAACCTGGTAGTGGTGGCCAAAACATACACAGATGACCTCTTTAAGTGGAGAAATATTGAGAGGCTATACTTCCATTGATGTGTAAAATGGTAGCTAAGAATCTGTATGTGAGCACTGGTCATTCTTAGAATTCAGTTGTTTGTACCCAATGAGCATCACCCATGTTCTCTGCAGAAGAAATAAAAAAGTCATTCAAAAAAGAAATAACTCCTTTGCACTCCAGGAGAGATTTCCAAAGCCTACCTCGTCTTAAATATGTTTAAACTTTGGAGCCTGTGCAGGTGCCTTCTGTGCAGGTTGTTGTTCCCAGACACGCCTGAGCACTCTTGCCTGGACTTAGCCACCAGTCCAGGGCAGCTAACTAGCAAACAAAGCAGTTCTGGTAAATGCATGGGCGCCATGGCCCGATTTGGAATGATTTGGATCAACCAGGGTCAAATGAGTTCTCCGGACTGCAGCTATTCTAAGAGTCCTGTTGTCATTTTTCACCTCTTCATCATAAGCATCTTTCAGAGATTAATTACTTGACCATTAAAAATGAATCCAAATCATACCATGCCAAAATAACTTAGACACTATTTGGAATGAGCAGCCCAGGGCTTCCAGACAAGGTCACATCATCGTTTGCCATTGCCTGGACTTGCAAAGAAAGATCAGAAGTGACTGGCCAATCCTGCTCTGTTCCTGGTAGGGCTGGGTGGGGGCGGGGGACGGCTTCCTTCTCTTGAGAAAGGGGCACCTTTTCAGCATTTTGAAGTTTGAGCCTTCAAACCCCATATTGGCTAAGACCATTGTGATAGTCTTTTCTTCTTCAAATATAAGTAGAAGGACCACTCATTTCAGGAGCATGTGGATGGGGTTCCAGCATTGAGTGGGGAGGAAAATACACCAGAGGTGCCTTGGAACTCACCAGTTATGGGAGAGACTCACAATAATCATAAGTGTGTGTTTAACGCTCCCCCACCCCGATTATTTTTTTAATAGCAAAAAATAAAAAAATAAAAATAAAATAAAATAAAACAAGATCTGGAGTCTGCTTTTGGAAGAATCCAAAAGAATTTGAGGTGGATTCCTTGTCACCTGCTCCATGGAACAATAAGAGATGTCCTGTAAAATGCGAAATTATGTTTTGCTTTTTGTTTAGTAGTTTATTTAATTTTTCCCTTCAAAACTTTAAGAAAACTCAAAACTTGACCAGAGTTCATCAGAGTGATCCCAAGGCAGGCGGCTTGACCCCCTTCACCCATGTGGAGTGCAGAGGCCAGGATTTAATATGGGCAGCAAGTGGCGGGTCACTGGAGACCAGGGGCACAGCTTTGCACCCTGCAGCCAGCTTCCTGCTGAGGGCACCAGGGTGCACATGGCCCAGGGCCAGTCCTCATCCACGTCTATAATTAATAATGCCATTTTTAAAATGAGCAAAGCCTTATCTTAGATCTTGATTGATTCGATCTGGGAACATTCTAGATTAGTACATTTTGCAGAGCCAACTGTATGCATGTGATGTATGTGGGGATGGGAGAGCGTTTGATAAAGAAGGGAGGGAGGGAAAATATATTTAAGACAAATTTTAGAGCACCTGATACAACATCATAATCCATCATGACCCTTTTGGCAACACCACAGAGGCTGCATCTGTTAAACGGGGTGCCAGTTCACATGAGGTCATTTTAATTCTCTACCCTGATTTGGTTGGTCTGTATGCTGTTAAATCCAAATCTTTGTCTGTTATTCTTAATGTTTAATAAACTTTGAATTTCTTCCTTTCTTTTATGTATGTTTGTTGACAGTATGCTAGAAATTAGATTCTGTTCCCCATTCTATCACCAAGAGCTCTTTTACAGAGATTAATTACACAAATGATAAAATGTAGCTAGCAATAAATTAACATTTAATGAGTCTTTATGTGCCAGACACTGTGCTAAACACTTAACTTGGAATATTTTATTTAATACTATATCAAGCCTATGAATTATTTCAGAAGAGGACATAGAAATTTTGGGAGGTAAAGTAACTTCCTAGCCTGAGACAAGTGACAGAGATGAGTTCTGGTTCCATTGAACAGGCATCAGTCAGAGGGTCCTTCCCCAAAAACAGTTCCAAGACTTTTCTGATAGGGTGTGTAAGACTCACCAAATGTATGCAGGACTGTAGGTCTAGCAATTCTCAATCAGTAGATCTGGGATAGGCCCAGAGACCTGAAACATTTTGAAGTGTCTAGCTAACCACCATGGGTGGCAAGGAACTGGGGCCAAGGATTTATAAACTTGACCTTAATTTCAATTCACAGAAATGGAAACTTGAATTCATGGGGGTTCCACATAGAAGTATCACAACATTCACAATTCCCTGAAAATACATGTGACTTTTGGATATACACATACTTATTTTTCCATAGGGGAGATCCATGACTCCTGCCACAAACACACAAAGCCAAGGGATCTGTGATAAGGAAAGCATGAAGAGCCCTGACTTACAGGAAGACTGATGCTGTGTGGGGTTCCCAGCCTAGGCAACCTGGTAGAATCACCTGGGGAGCCCTGAACTATGTCTGTGTGGCCAAGCAGGGGACCTGGAGCCCAGGATCTCTGGAACCAGAGAAGGGGCTTCTGAGGGCACCTCAGTGACTGACTTCACATCTTTCACCTGACCTTGAGCAGAGACTAAGCATTTTTGAACCCAAACCTCCTTGTCTGTGAAACGCAGGCACGTGCCTGCCAGAGGGGGGTATGTTGACCAAGGACAAGCGATGCATGGTCTTAATCAGAAACTCCATGGGTCCGGGGAGTAGAATACTCACCTAGGCACACTTTGCAGAACAATTTCCCCTTGAGAAGGATAGGAAAAAAAATCCTGGTCAGAAGAAAGAGCAGCGTTGGTGGGGTGGGAATGGAAGATTCCCCCAACAGATAGGGCGCCACACTCAGGCGGCCCTAACTGGGCAGGCTCTGTGACCAGGCCTGTGTGCCTCCTCCCTGGGGTGGCTCCTTCCAACTTGAATTGAGCCGTTAAAAGTCAGAGTTCAGCTCTGCTTTCATTATCAAACACTGCTTTCCTCTCTGAAACGGATGAATACAGTGACCTTAACATAAGATTCCTATGTCTTCAAAGGAATCTTGAAGGAGGAGAAGACGGTATCTCTATACCTGGAAAGTCAGCAGGATGCTGTGATGCAGGATCCCACATGAAGCCAGGTTCTGGACTCACCCAGAGCCCAGGGCCCGTACAGGCTGCTCCCATGGGTGGCACCCCATCCATCTTTAACACGTCACATCCCAACCAGCAAGCTCTTCTCCTCAGAATATGTGAATTCAATTCCCTCTTTGAGAATCATTGGCTGAGGATTCTCTTTGGGCACCCTTAACCAGGAGCTGGGTGAGAATATTGAAATTTGGCCTTTGCGGTTGGGACCAGCTTCTTGGTAATAAATCAAAATGACCTTTTGGAGGAGAAAGTGAAGAAGGCATTGAGCTTCCACTGCATCTCCAGGTTTTGAGGCAGGAGGACTTGGGTCCAAACCCTCTCTCTGACTTCTTTTATCCTGCCAAGCCTGGCACCATGCCTGGAAATGTTAGGAACAGCTGACAGCGACTGAGTCTTAAACTCTGTACCTGCCACATCGCGTTTAATTCTTATGCTATGAAATAGATACTATTATTATCTCTGTTTTTGCAGATGAAGAAACAGACACGCAGAAATGAAAAGAGAAAAATTTAAACCCATAGATAAAACTTGATTCCAGAATTTGTGTCCTAAGCCACTCCACTCCATGGCCTCCTGTAAAAAAAAATAGGTGCTTAAGAAAGCCAAAAAGCAATTACTGTGGCAAGAAGCATAAGCCTGGAGCAGCCAAACCTGGACTTGAATCCCAAATTTATTATTCACCATCTGTGACCTTAGAAAATCCACCAATTGCCTTTAATTGCATCTATAAAATAGGCAAAAGAATACCCTTCTTATAGGGTTGTTACAAGGATTAAATGACTATGCATGTAGATTTTTGTAACAATAGCCATAATTATTAGTATGTGTTGTTTGACTTGATTGCGCTGGTGTGGTGTTGGTAGATGTGTTGGGTAGTATGGTGGAGCCTTTGATTTTGCACATACTTGATTCAAGAACCCCTGTCACCTTTGGCAACATCCCTCTTTTCGGATGAATAAACAGAGTAAGTAATAGGACCACATCATGAACCAAATTCTATGAGACTGATTTTATAGTATTGGGATTTGGGAGAACTTGACTCTCACAAATGTCCTGAATGGTCCTGGAAGGCTGACCCTTGCATGTGAGAGATACCACCTGTTCACACAGAGGAGGCATTGGCAGAAATTGATTCCAAGTGTCTTCCTGTTAGCATCTGCCCTCAGGACTGCGTCAGTCTCCCCAAGGACATGGTAGTTCTATTTAACCATCTATAGACATAGCCCCAGGGCTATATTATCCGTGACAGGGTAAGAAATATATCAGCAGCTAGCCAGACACATTCCTTTCTTCCTGGACTTAACCTTAGACCACTTTCCCCACCTCCCATGCTTTCAGTATGGCCGTATCTAGGATAAGTGAAGACTGCTCAGGCTCTTGAGCCACTGGCCTCTGTGGCTGTCCCCGGTGGCTTTAAAAGCAGGAGGCGTTTGGGAGCGTGGGCGTGGGGTTGCATGTCTGATGGTAGACACCTGGGGCAGGGTGTGGGCGTGCGTGAGTGGGGACACCTGAGCTGAGAGACTGAGCATGTGAGGGCGGCATCACAGGACAGAGTACATCAGAGGATCGTGCGGCAGACCGCAACAGAATGGCTCCAGAGGAAGATCACAAGAGAACACCAGAGAGCCCAGAGATTTGCCCCGGGCTGGGAGGCCTGTCAGCCTTTTGGCCTCTTTGCCTGGCCTGCACCATACCTGGTTACTTCTCTGCAAGTGGTGTAGAAAGATTACCAAAAGCCTGAAAAAGCCACTGAGGCCTTCAGGACTCCTTTACCGTCTGCTCTGGCCTTGCTGGCACTTCACCATACGACTGGATTTGGCCAGTGGAATACGAGACAGATCCATAGACATCACCACGTAATCTCTGCCTCCAGCAGAGGCCTCAGGGGAAGAAGGAGCCTAAGAAGGGACCCAGGGTCACAGTCATTGCAGTGTTCCATGAGGGAGAAAAATCTTTGAGAGCCCAGGTTGGCTGCTGAAGCGGCCGGCCTACCCTAATATGAGAACATTCTTCTGAAACCCAGTGTCCTTGTTTGAGGTCTTGCTCTCTTTGCCAGCCTCCTCTCCAGGCTGGGGAAGTGGAAAATATTCCTGGTTGGAATCTAGGCTCATCACCTCTCACGTCCATGACCTTGAGGTTTTCCTACCTTCTGGACAGAACTTCTGCTCTGGTTTGGCCCAGCTGGTTGGATTAGACCTTCAGGATGTCAGTGACTGCATCTTGCTTCAACTTGTTCTGCATTTGAACCCTGTCCAGAGCTGTCCAGGCACCCTGAGGACGACCAGCTTCTACCTCCAGGTCAGCTTTCCTATCTTCACCGCCCTCACCCCCAGACTGGCTTCTAGGCCACGTGGTCCCTCCGCTAGCCCCTCCAGGTGTTCAGACACTCACCTAGCAATGAAACCTAGTATTTTGGGGGGCATTGCTCTTCCAATTTTCTCCTATATGTGCTTAAATATATATTTTTTAAAACTAGGAGCCTGCTCTGCACATTATAAAATTGACAGCTATAATTTTTCAGCAGAATTTTAAGTAGTTACAAAGAGTACAATAACTACTCTGTTATAAATATTGGCATTTTAAAGTATATCAGTGCCTAGCTTTTTCTTTTAGCAAATAAACCAAAAACTCTGTGACTTGATACCTACTGATATCCATTTGAAAAATTGCCATTGGAATTTTTAGATCATTTTTTCCCTTGGAATCATGATTTCTGCTGTATCTTCCCTCATTGAATTTGTTTTGATCATACTCTATTTTGTGCTTGTGTGGAAAGTATTCCCATTCTATTTTTTCAACCATGAATCTATATATGTAATAAGATTATTTTCTCAGAACATAAGGCTCAAAAAGCTTACAAATTCTTTTCTAAGGTATGATTGATGGTTACTGTGATTGCCACTACCCAGTTGGTGAAAAACACATATATGTGCTAAGATTTTTTGATAAGTAATTGACCCAGAGAAGCCAAACATTAATGGAATGTCAAATCTAGGGTTATGGATATAGGTGGTTATAGTGCAAACAGCAAAAGACTTGCTTTTGGGGGCACCCCAAGTCTGGTCCCTGAACCTGGGCAGGATTCTGATTGGGTGGGACGCATGCCTGTTGTTTGAGAAGTGGGAGGAGTATGATTTTGAAAGGGGAGTAGAGGGAAGGAGAACCATCTCCAAGCCCTACCGGGAAGCTCTTTCTCAGAGGATTTGTTTCTTAAAAAGTGCATATAGGAATGGTGGGTCTTGGAATGTCCTGCTCCAAACCACTAGATGAAGGACTCCCCCAGCTGAGGACTGTGCTAACTCAAAGAGTGGGGTCAACAAGGGGGATAGAGAGCAGAAAGTTTATTTGACAAAATCTTATATTTTTGATGACTCTCAAATCAGGATGTTTGACTTGTCAGCAAATGAATACACCCCCACAGAGACAGAATGCTGCAGGGACATGAAGATGATGAGGCCTTTACACCATTGGCCTCTGCTGCCACTTTGAGCTTGTTAATGTAGAAGGCGCCGGGTGTGG